GCGCTGGGGAAGCGCCGGCCGGGGGCGCAGGGTCTGGAGGCTGCCCGGCAAACCGTGAAGCCGGTAGCGCTCGGGCAGCCCTTTCCGCATGGCTGGGAGTGGGAGGGAGGAGGGGGCGGAGTTAGGACGGGGAAGGGGCGGAGTTGGGGCGGGGCTGGGGGTGGGGAAATGGGCGGGGCCAGGGCCCGTGGAGGGTCCTCTTTTTTTATTTATTAAATATGGTAACCCTAGTGTAGATAGCACTTTGAAGTTGAGTCTTGCACGGGAGCTCAGACTCTGAAGCCCAAACACCACCCTAGATTTCAGATCCTGAGATCCAGCCCAAGCCACAACTCCAAAGCACTGTCTACACAGCAGTTTTTAGCGTGATCCCCGCTAGCCCGAATCAGTTGACCTAGGCTGGGAGGCTCACTTCTGCAGGCTGTGTAGATGCCCAATATACAAAATGAGACCAGAGCTTTGTACATATGTTGTTAAAAATAAACGAAAGCTTTTGGTTCACCTGTTTTTGTCTAGTTTGTTGGCTGTAGATAAAGTTCATATGCGTATTTTAATGTTCATACATTTATCAGTGCAGTAACTGTTTTATTTTATCTTCCTTTAGAAACAGAAACCAAAGTCCCATAGGCCCAGGGAAATATGGATATGGAAAAGTGCCATATATATTACCACTGCAAACTGACACTGGGCAACTGCCTCAAAAAACACGGCGGCAGCGACAGTCAACAAGGAACCAAGCGTATGAGCAGAATCAGGGTCTTGGGAACACACACAATCATCCATCTAACCCTTCAGTTCAACATGGGAATCTTTACCAAGAAGAACGTGGACCTCAGGTGTTGGGGCCCTCAATTTATCAGCAGGCTTCAACCCATTCACAGGCCTTTCCTGCATCTCAAAGTTTGTTTCATGGGACTGACTCAACCCACCATGGCTCTGCATCCCGCCAGCCCTTCCAAGGTCAACCTCACTCTCCAAGGGCTGGAGCTATTGTGTGCATTGGAGCCTACAAGCAGTACAAACTCTGCAACACAAATGTAAGTCCATTCTTTTCTCTCTCAGTTTTAAAGACAGCTCCCTGAGCATGCTGGATTTCTATTCTTCCTGTGGCTTAAAATCAAAAGAGATATATATTGATCTTATTAACTATGGAAAAGAAATCCCTTCATTCTGTTAGTTAGTCATGGAATAAAAGAACCCACTGTATGTTGATTTAAAAGAAGAGTGGCTTGGGGGGATGTCCATAGTTGCTATCTAATCTATCATTTGCATTGCAGCATCCATCCCAGGGGTATCAAATGGTTGTTAAATCTCACACACCGGTGGTATAAGTATGATTCCTGTTAGATAGATGGGGAAACTGAGGCACTGACTTTGCTTCACAGACAGGAGTAGGCAGAGAATAGGATGGGATTGGTAGTTAGGTTTCCCAGTTCCCAGTCCCACACTCTACCCACAAGACCACATGGCCTTTTTGTGACAGACCTTCCTTTTTGCCACATTTGGGAATTCATATACCCCAAACTAAGGTTTCTGATTTTAGGTGCCTATTTTTAGGGTAAATTGTGTGTAAAAAATCTATTGTATTAGAATTTTTTTTAAATAACATTTTTCTTAAAGCTGTTTTAAAATATTTGGCTTTGGTGCTACTCTATGTTCTGGGATGACCTCCCAGTTCGTTGTATGAGACCTCTCAGTGTCTGCTCTTCTGCTCCACAAACAAATTTCAATTTTGTAAGAGCTGTAATTTTTGGCTGTTTTTCTTGAAAATTTCTTAAAACGTCTTTCTCCAATGTTTGCCTTGGCTGGGTTTTATCAGCATTTAACCTAAAACAAGAGGCCTTCTCCTTTCCAGTCTCTAGTGAATTAACATTGTTGACTTCAAGAGCCATGCTATTTGGATATTAATAATGGTTTTTTTCTAAAGTATTAGTGCTGTTGTATGTTGATTTAACAGAGAATTGGGCCTTAGGGTGCATATGTGAGTCCTAATCTGCCTTTATAGCCTTTGGGCCTTTTAAAACTGGGAAATGTAGTCATGGGGCACATGACTAGGGACAAGCATGTGACCTTCAGGAAGCCAGATGGACACTTCCTGTCTCTTAGGTGGGGGCAGGAGAGACCCAATGTCAAGGATGCTTTGCTGTATGTTTCCCCATCAGTAGGCAGGAAAAAGTTACCAGAGGAGAAACATGCGTTCCCCCTTCCCAGTTGTGGCAGCCAGAGACAGCAGGAAGAGTCTCTGTTACCAAGGGTGTTGTATTATTTTGAACCTTTTTTGCATTTTCTGTTAATTAATAAACTTGCATTGGGGAAAAGGACGTGGAATGGAATTTGAGTGTTTGGGCTTTAATTTGAACTGCCGTGGCTGGTGAATCTGCACACTGGTGCACAGGTAGGGTAGTAATACATCTCAGTCAGTCGTGTAATTGAGGGTAACAGCAGGTAAACACAGTTTATCACTTCTCTTTGGAGAATATGGAGTTTAGCTTAGATTAGTTTACCCAATTTTTTTTTTTACCACTACACCCTGATCGCACTGGTTCAGTACCTCTGCTATGTGCTTTTGTAACAGCCCTTTCTAAACCCTGTGTTACACTGGTGTCCAAGACTCCAGTTTCTGTGGTGAGAAGTTCTGCTTCTAAATCCTTTCTAGTTGTTTTTCTTTGTAGTAGGTCCTTGCTTTCTCAGCCCTGAATCCTGCTTCCCCTTGTTCTTCCCTCTATTTCAGCCCCAGCCATATCAGGGCAGGAAGGAACGTAATCATCATCCTCATCACTACACATAAAGCATCAGAAGGGGTTTTTCAAGAATGGTCTCTTTACAGGCTTCTCTGTGGAAACTTCTGTTTAGTCAACACTATAACCAGCACCCTCCCAAGTCTCAGTCTGTCCCTTTTGTGGGAGTGTTATGTGGGATGGACGCACCATTGGTTTGTCGTTTGTCAAGTTATTGGATAGTTAAGGATTATTCTGTATTGTACACAACCCTGCCAGACACACGAGACATGGTCCCAGCCCAGAGGAGCTTAGAATCAAAACCAGGCTGACAAATGTGACACAGTGGATAACAGCTCAGACCTAAGAAATGGGGGAGAGGGATAGCTCGGTGGTTTGAGCATTGGCCTGCTAAACCCAGCGTTGTGAGTTCAGTCCTTGAGGGGGTCACCTAGGGATCTGGGGCAAAATCAGTACTTGGTCTTGCTAGTGAAGGCAGGGGGCTGGACTCAATGACCTTTCAGGGTCCCTTCCAGTTCTATGAGATAGGTATATCTCCATATATGAAGAAGATTGGTTGATGTCATGGAGATCAGAGTTGGAAGGTTCCATTAAAGAAGTGAGGTGTAATGAGGGATCTGGAAGAGGAGTTTGCAAGATGGATGTGAGACAGACTATTCCAAAGATGGTGAAGGGCAAAGTTGGAAGAGAGGACTGTGAGGAGACTTCTATCCTTATTATTATTGATAATGCCCACAATATGCAAGGGGCTTTCCAAACTCAAAAGAAAAGCAGTTTTCTATTCAAAGGGGTTACTAGAGTATTGGAGAATAAGGGAAAATCAGAGCAGAGATTAGGTGGGGGTGAAAATGTTTACAGTAAAGCCATGAAAACAAGTGCAAAGATCTTGATTTTACTGTTTTGAATTATATTAAGATCATGACGCAAAGCAACGAAGTGGGTGATGTGGATTGAGTGGCATGAGGGGAAGATGGTTACAGCAGAAATATTTCAGATAGAGTTGAAGGTGATTGGAGAGGGAGTTAGAAAGGAGGAGATGACAGTAGCTAAGAGGAGCGATCAAGGCATGGACCCAATGTTCTAATAGTGGGGATGATGAAGAAGGGTCATTATAGAGGAAACTTGGGAAGAGGTGCCATCCAGTGAGTGGGGTGAAGAGAAAGTTGTAAATGTGGGCTTGGGAGAACAGTGAACATGTTAGCACTGATGGAGAAGGAAAGGAGAAGTTAGCTCTGATGAAGTTTTGGATGGTGGCAGGACATACAGTTCAGTGTAACTTAAATATGTTGCAGTGTTCATGGGGGAGCTAGAGTGAATATGCATTCACAGTAAATAATTTTAAATTTTGAAGCTACATTTAAGGATAGGACAGCAACAGGATACCAACCCCGCCCCTCTCCCCAAAAAACCCCAAACGTGTGAGCATATCCCCATCATTTCCCTGCACCTCTGAATGTAATCAAATTCTAAAGAAATGGGTATGACTATTCAACGATCTTTTTAACAAGAGAGAAATTGCAGGTGATGCAGCTAGAATTTGAAGTCCTTGCAGGCACATAGCGCTGCACATAGCCCTGTATTCTGATGATGAAGTTCTCAGGAACCAAGTGGAAGCTATAATTGCCATCAGGGATCAGTTTCCCCTAGGATGTGGTATTTAATAGTTATAAACAATAATTAAGTAGGAGCAATCATAGGAGTCAAGGCCAGACCAGAGCAAAGCAAAGCTGATAATGTTTGTCCTTATTTACTTGTTCTTCCTGTCTCTCCACTTTTATACATGGACTTTGATTTAATTTATCTTCAGTGATGTGTTCCAGAGCTGCTGCTGGCATCTAGAGAACACTAGCTTCTTTTTTCTTTTCTTTTCTTTTCCTTTTTTCTTGCATGTTCCAAGAGGTAAATATAATTTATCAAGGGGGAAAGATTCTATTAACTAGTACCCCGGTGTTTGGTTTCTCCTAAGGGTAGTTAATTAATTACAAATTAACTCAATCTGCCTTGGCCTGTTAGGTCATTTCCTCATCATTGTGCATTTAATGTGCTTTCATTTATAGCTGAACTCGTTTTGCATGACTGACAGCTTGGTTCATAAAAAGTTAAGCTTATAGATTTTGGTTAGTGAGAGGCTGGGAAGAGCTTCTATTTGTTCAAGTGTTTTTGCAGATCACGAAACTCATTTTCTCATTGTACAAATGGCTTCATCTCTTCAGCACTTGCATGTGTGTTTCCTGCCAGTCAGCCAGATGATGGCTGAGCAGTCTCCCTGATCTGCCTGCTGGGCTTCCAGACTTCCCATGTTGCCCACCGCCATGGGACACTAGGCTGCCTCGCTCCCCAGATGCCTAGCCAGATTGAGAGCTGGCTGGCTCCTTGCCCAGAATTTTTTAAAATTTTTTGCATTCTACAGAAATTTGCATTTGAGGCTTTTTGTTCTGATTCAGAAAAAACATTTTTTTGGAAATGTACAATTTTCCGTTGAGTGGAAATTCTGTTTCCTGTAATTGCTTTGTTCACTACCAACACAGGGGTGCGGTGAGGATGTATTCATTAATATTTGTGGGATACAAAAAGTGACTGGGAAGGCATGTAAGTATGTCAGCAAGAACGTTGTTATTAAAAACTCTTTTTGTTTGGGACATCTGTGTACCTTGTTTTTACTCATTTTGAGTGTTGCGTGGGCTCTGTATTGGATATAATTTCAAAATGAGGTTAAGATGATCTTTTTCCAAGGAATTTAGCTTTGACTCTAGTTTGGGAGTTTCCTTTTGAACAGTGTAGGATTGTATGTGCATTTAACAGTTCGACATTTCTAGGTGTACAGGAAAGCTTATAAGTTTACGTTACTTTAGGCTGTACTGTGGTTTCTTTGATTCTTTGAGGTTTGGGGTGGGATTTTTTAAAGTATTAGCTCAAAGGTCATTAGTGTTAGTGGCAGAAGTAACATGCCAGCCATTGCTATGGGAATAACGGTTAAACGTTCTCCTGTTTGTACATCAGTTGATCATTTGTCCCTTCCATGTAGATGTTACCCTAAAAAGTGACTTCTAGGGTATTTTCACTGAAGATACTGGGCCAAATTAATTTCTGTTGTAACTCTATAGCTGTGGCTATAATGAGATTACTCCAGTGATAAACTGGGCCCACTGTTTTGAATCTCTTTTCCATATTCCATAGAACACAATGTCTTAGGCAGGTCTCATTAGAGTCTGACTAAATAACAGGGACTTGGCTGAGTTAAAACACTAGGGAAAATGTTTGCCGGGTTGCAGTTCAGAAGCCTTCACTTTAATGTGTTT